TTATTTTAATGGCATTCAACCACCTAATCTTACCTATCCAGCCTACTGGTTTCTTTGTATTCAATTGAATATAAGGAAATTGGTAAAGGTTTGATGGCCCTAATTTGTTTAGAGACATCTATAGATATATCTACCAACTTAGGTCTGGGTACGGTAGATATATGGGGTTCATAAGCTTAAAAAACTGTATAAAGATTACATGGTAATTCCCAAATCTTAGTTCAAATCCACAATAATATCAATGTATTTAAACATTTTGATTTAAAGGAGTTCTTAAAAAGCTAAAATATCATCCTTCTGATGTATCAGAGAAAGACAAAAAAAAAAAAAAAAAAAAAAAAAAACGCTGTGGACCAAGTTAATCAGCAAATAACATTTTCAAAAATGCAAAAAATGTCAGGCATGAAGTTATCAGCAATGTTATAGCTTAACAGGTAGGCCAAAAAAAATATCATCATGTAATATGAAGTTACAGTTTTAGGTCAGATTACAGTACGTCCAACACATTACCTCTAAATTGGTTTACCAGGACAAGAACATTCAATTCTACTCTATATCTACAGTATTTGGATATCAAAATCACAAAAATATTAACAAGATTGTCTTGTACTTTAACCTTTTTTTACTTCAACCTTCACATTAATATGCATATAACATGAAAATATGGAGAAAGGTGAAGATTTGTATGTTAAGAGTAAAGTACAATAATAAAAACAGCATTGCTTCCTCACATGGATTGAAGTTCTCTGTTAATAAAATCTGATAATCCTGACAATCACTGTATGTTTGCTTTAAATAATCCAATAATTATTTTCCAAACTTAAATTTGCTAGTAAATATCTGGATTTGAATCACCATATATTTTTCAAAGTGCGGTGTAATACAGCATGGGTCCTACGCATTACAATATCATTTTTTATGGGATCATTTTCTCAGCAGCTAAAGTGCTGAACTTATGATGACCCCTCTCAGTTTTTTTTTTTACAACCAGTCCTTTGATATCTTAATATGATGCTCCAAACATAATAAAAACACCTGCAGAAGGTGGCAATAGTGCAGACTGAATTGTATCTCTAAAAGTGCCATGATCTATTTGTGTGTCCATGCCCCCCCCGTCCCTGACGGGAGCATTTTGGAGCACTTCCAGCTCTTTTGGGTCATCAAGCTGGAAGTATTTAAGGAACGGCAGGACCTCCACTCTCCACTGGATGATTACACATCAATGGTGATCTCTTGCTCTCCTGTGCTTTGTTAACCTTAGAGCTTGTTAACAGCTTATTCTTTTATACTGCTTGCGAAACATCTGCTGACAGTTCTACTCAGCTCTCTCTTTACTCTCATCCAGGCTGTTTTGCTGCCCTAACTCACCTAAGAGCTTAAACCAGAACTCTACCTTCATTTGCAAACTGCAAACCTCATCTGCATTCCTGCTAACTCCAGGGTAATGCTCAGCTCCCTCATATGGCACGCCTCATCAGACAGATATTCCACCTCAGCCTGGATTCCTCTTGCTCACCTCACCCCTTGCAGTATTGTTTTGACAGCCATCTTAGATTGCGAAAACTCTGATGAGTTTTAGTAACATTGTAGTCATTACTATATTTGATAGTTTAAGTCCAGTTTTAGTTAACTAAAACTTAAAAAGGTTTTAGTTTAGTTTTAATCAGTTTTATGTTGGAATTCATAAAACAGCTAACCTTGGCTCTTGCCTAGATACTACAATTGCTGCAGATACAATGCTGCTATGCAGTTCATCAGTGATTTTGGACAGAAAACTTGTCTTTGGGTCTGACGTTTGAAAAAAGAGGCAGGGAAAGCAGAATAAAGTGTAAGCCACGCCACATGTATGGAGGATAAAAGTGCCAAAATTAAATAAATAAATACAGCATAAAATAAATAATTAAATGTGTCAATAATTAATTAAATGTGGAATTAAATAAATAAATGTGTCATTCATTAATTAAAACCACGTCACTCATATAAAGTGCCACAATTAAATAAATAAATACAGCGATAAACAATTAATTAAATGTGTAATTCATTAAATAAATAAGGAATTAAATATATAAATGTGTCATTAATTTAATAAAATACGTCTTCATTTTATAAAAAAAATATATATAATTATTTCAGTGTGTATTTAATTATTTCATGGTCCTGTGTCGCAGTGCATCGAAACCATTAAAAGAATCTGTCAAACTTACCCATCAAAGTTAGGGGGAGGTTATCTAACACCTGATTGGTCACCCTGCACATTAAGGCGAAGCAAATCGATAACAGAGACTGTGATCCACAGGTTGTAAACATACTCTGATACAGTAGGTGGCAACTCGATTCGCGTTAACCCCATAAATTTATTTAATTTTGGCACTTTATCCTCCATACACATGCACTTAGCCAAGCTTTTTTTTTGCTAAACCAGGTCCTGGAAAAGGACGGTTCTTGCACTCTCTCTCTCTCTCTTAGTCTCTCTCTCAACTTTTAACAAGAGTCAGGCTGTGTTTGAATTTATGGGCTTCCAAGGATGCAATCTACCTGGACTGGATCCTTCAAAGTCCTTGAAAATAAGGAGATCGAAAGAGATTAGGCTGTGAATTCAAACAGGTCTAGCCTTCTGCAGCTTTCTCTGTGAACACTCTGTCGCCTAGCAACAGTGAAAGTTGACACACAAAACAGGAAAAGAATGAATCCGAAAAAAGTGTTTCTTTTAAAATGCTTTTATTATTATTTTTTTTTTATTGGAAAATGAACAAAGACCACACTCATGAGAATACAATGCTCTGTCCCACGCATCAAAGTACACCACAGCGTGGCTGGCCAGAAAAAGTCTAAAAGGAGAAAAAATAATGACATGGCCCCCTTGTTCACCTGATCTGAACCCCATCGAGAACCTGTGGTCCTTGTGAGATGGAAATGTGAGATCTATAGGGAGGGAAAACAGTACACCTCTCTGAACAGTGTCAGGGAGGCTTCTGTGGCTGCTGCAGGCAATATGGATCGCAAACAGATCAAGACAGAATCTATTGATGGAAGGCTTTTGAGCATCATGGTGAAGAAAGGTGGCTATATTGGTCACTGATTAGTTTTTTTGTTTTTGTTTTTGAATGTTGCAAATGTTTATTTCTGAATTTTGAGTTGTTACATTGGTTTATCTGTTGAAAATAAAAAAGTGAGAATGCGTATATATTTGTTTTTTATTATCTTGCCTAATAATTCGTAACCGTAATATTTACCTGGACACACAGACATCCTCATAAAATGGCCAAATCAAAAAAAACAAAAAAACAAAAACACATCAACTTCCAAAAATATGAAATTTTGATATTAAGGAGTCTTTTGGGTTGATTGAGAACACAACTGTGTCCCAATAATAAAAAATAATCCTCAAAACTACAACTTGCCTAATAATTCTGCACAGAGTGTATAACCCTACACACACATTAGCACCTAAGGGCAATTTGGAGTTAAACTAATAATGTACTTTCTCTTTTTTTGGACTGTGGGAGGAAGTCTTAGTACCCAAAGAGAACCCATAGGTGTACAGAAATAACATTCACACTCCATGTAGGAAGACTGGGAATTAAATCCAAGAGCTTTTTTCTGCAAGGAAACAGTGCTGCAAACTATATCACTGTGCAGAATCTACAAAGGAGACACATTGATTGCTTCTACACCCTTACCCAGCTCTTAAATGGGTTCATAGTAATCTAGTAACATGGTTAAGTATAGATATGTGTTGTGTGCATTGTTATGATAACTGTAGTAAGAAAATTTATTTTTCTCTTATTTCATATATTAAGTTATGCTATTTATCCACTGAAAAATGTTTTTACTCAGTCTGTTTCACCTGCAAGGCCACAAAATGTCTGAGTGAGAAGTGTTTGCATAGAAGAAAATACTATTCCCATAACAAGCCACATCCTTTCTCAAGGTTTATTCATAATATGTTACTGTTTAACCAAAGTGTCTGTAATGTGTTTTAACTCTGAATACTTTCTATTATTGTAAGTAAGGAAGACAAACGCTAGCCAGATCAGAGCTGATTACCATGCAATAATGATGTCTTGTTCTCTCTTTGCAAAGATGTAATGAAATGCCGACTGAGTGAAATCCATCAACCTCCATTTATTTAACGGAAGTGAATAGTTGAATACTTTTTTTCCCCGACAACATAACTTAAATTGTTGTTTATTATAATATGTTAGAGGGGGCATGTACATATTAATACATAGAGATGCAAGATAAATAGAAGTGCAAACCTCACCAAGGAGTCAGCATGTACAGGATTGCAATCACAAGACACTGCTTGTCTTTAATATTTGGTTATAATCCATCCATCCATCCATCCATCCATCCATCCATCCATCCATCCATCCATCCATCCATCCATCCATCCATCCATCCATCCATCCATC